AGGTCTTCAAGAAGACCGACTACATTTTCCTCTATGTGATCGACAAGACTATCTGCAGGACAATCTGATCAATCGGCTCAGTGGCAAGTTACATGCAGTAGTGGTCACTTCGACCAAGTCTAAGAGAGTTTCTCACAGCACGTCCCATGCGGAAACGTTGGCAGCAGCACGAGGAGTCCCCATGGCACAGATTATCGGCATGAGACTCACAGAACCGGAGATCAACATTCTATGCGGACCTCAGAAGCCACTACAGCTTCAAGAAAGACTCGACCGAGGGCAGTTGAGTTTACCAGTGGACGCTTTCATTGACTGCATGGACCTGTGGGAGTTATGTTGCGGACTTCGAGGAACACCACAGGACAAGTCTCAGCGTTTGGGTATTCTGTCGCTTCGAGAAGAGCGAAGAACCCTGAGATTACGACGACTTTATCATGTACGTACCAAGTGGATGGTTTCAGATATGTTGACAAAGTTCGTGGGAGCAGATTCCAAGTCCCTCTTGGAGCTGATCACCACCGGTTGTTGGACGATCGCAGGCACACTGCGAGTCAGGCAAGGATTTGGACTAGACAGTACCAAGTCCGACACGACAAGAACTTAATATTTCAGTTCAGGATTTTCATCAGAATCTGAAGTATGATCTGGAGTTTGGTTATATGTGAGATGTTATATGAGCAGCTCCACATGTATAGCATTATTCGACTTCAATTGTGGAGCTAGTATTTTATGTTCACCTTTATCGGCTACCACTTCGAGATGGATTTATTTCAGTTGATGTATTTCAATGGATTTATATTTGGTGGCCGTGGTGGATATGATAAGCCTGCTATGGCTTACTTAGGACTGCTGTCCTACTCTTCTCACTTCTCACTTCTTCCTAGGGCCGCTACCGAACTCCAGTAAAATCGACTGGGTTTAAATTTTTATAAGATCCAACATGTCCTAAAGAAAATAGGACCAGAGTTGAGATTATTATGTCTAGGACCTGTTAGGCATGTTGTCTCATACGCTAGAAGCAGTACCGTACTGTAACGTACTGGCTCAAGGCTCAAGTCAAAGCAGTAAAAGATTATCATCTTTATTGCCATTAGTTCATATAGCTTTCGCTTAAAGAACTTAATATTTCCAGTTCAGGATTATCATCAGAATCTGGAGTGGGCGGGGGGGGGGGGGGAGGGGGGTTTTGGTGTTCGCCGCCTTGGGACGTTCTTGGGCGTTTTGGGCGCCTCGTGGGCCGTCTTGGCCCCCTCGTGGGCTGTTTGGGGGCCCTCTTGGGGGCATCCTCGGCCGGCTTGGGTGCCTCTTGGGCCGTCTTGGATGCAGTGGACGCCCAAAAGGCAAACACGCCAAAAATATCAGTTTCCCCCTGGGAAATCGACGCTTTTTGCTTATTGGGACACTCTCGGGGTGCCTCTTGGGGCGTCTTCGGGGCCTTCGGGGGCCGTCTTGGCGTCTTGGGAGTCGTCTTGAAAGGCGTCTGGAGCCATCGCTGCGGCCTCCTGGGGCCTCCCTGCAGCCTCTTGGGGCCCTGTTGGCCCTGGGTCGCCGAAACCCCGTGAGTGAAAACACAAGGAAAACGACGCCCAGTCCCCACATGCGCCGTCGAGGTCGCGGTCCCAGGCCCCCGGGCCTCGAGCACAGGGATATGTATATATATATATATATATATATATATATGTATGTATGAAGTGCCGAGCCTGAAGTTTTTTGGTATCCTGGAGTGGCCACGTGCCTCGCCGCCTCGCCTTCCCATCTGCTTCTCATCGATCGCACGTTCTCCAGACGTGTCCCCCACTGTTTGACCACACGCGTGTGTATCACTCTTGCACTCTCCATGTATGACTTCATCCCGTCAAACGTACCACCGGTTGTCATGGTTCCGTACCACATGATGGTACCGCTGCCTTCATGTCCGAACAGGACGTAGGCGGCGTCGCCTTGGTGCAGGTCCTGCATGTGGCAGCCGAGGGCCCCTCGGGTCCCACCGAGTTGGATGAAAGTAGCCGAGGTTTTCGTGATGCTCCGGGCCTGTCTGCGGACCCGCTGCTCGAAGGAGGCCACGACGGCCAAGGCGAGGCGACGGACGCCTTGGCGATCGCGTTGGCCGAGCTCGGTGCTGCGGTGGCCTGCGACGTTGAGCCGAACGGGGACGTGCGGCTGGAGTACGGCCTGCTGGCGAGCGCTGGGGCCTGGAAGGCATGGCTGGCGCGCTCGCAGGCCTGGAGGCCCTGGATAGTAGTCAGCAACAGCTGGAGGCCGATTCAGCACCTGGCGGGGGCGCAGATGCTGAGGACCCTCCATGCCCCAGCAGCTCCCTGGTTCGACGGCTGGGTGCCTCCGCTGCGGCAGCTCACCGTGGCCCAAGATCACTGCTGGGCACGGCCTCATCGATCAGCCGTGGGCATCTGGAAGCAACGGGACCAGGCAGAACTGCCCGCTGCGAGTCGTTTCCCTGGGGCCCGCGGCGCGTGGCCGCTGTGCGCGGCTGCTGCGTCTGGGCCCGCTGGTGGACGAGGCGCCGCAGGCCATGCTGGAGCATCGCGCGGCCGCCGCCTGCATTGATCTCCTGCCGCCAGCCACCTGCACGACCGCCCCTCCCTGGCTGCGACTGAGGGGGCCGCCGAGGCGGCGCAGGCCGACGCCCAGCCGCGACGTGGAGAGCCCACGCCACCAGCCCTGCTCGGCCAAGGGGGCTGATCGGACGGCCGCCAGGCGACATCGGCGCCTGGCTGATTGGACCCTCCTCTCGGCGCTGGTCGCTTGAGGGGGCGTCTCGGGCTGTCTTCGGGCGCTCTTGGGCCGTGGGAGGAAGAGGAGGAGGAGAAGGAGGCGGAGGAGGAGGAGGAGGAGGACGAGGAGGCGGAGGAGGAGGAGGACGAGGAGGAGGAGAAGGCTGTCCTGCAGGCCTCCGCGGGCTGCCTTGGGGCCTGCCGCGGGAGCATGGGCGGTCTCTGGGGTCGTCTTGGGGCCCTCTTGGGTTGTTCTGAGGCCGTCTTGGGCCCTCTGGGGGGCCGCGGCCGGCGCGCGCTGTCCGCGGCCGCAGGCGGCGGCCAGCGGCCAGCGCGGCGAGCCGTGCGCCAGAGGACCCCACAGGTACCGCGGGGGGTCGCCGTGGCGCCCGCGGCGGGATCGGCACGGCAGGGCAGCTCGACTCCGATGGGCCCACCTGCGTACTCGGTGACAACGAAGAAGACGATGACGATGACGCTGACGATGACGATGACGATGACGAAGGCGATAATGATGACGAAGACGAGTAGGAAGAGGATGCGAATGACGGTGACGATGGCGATGGCGAAGACGATGACGATGATAATGAGGATGACGATGACGATGACGATGACAATGACGATGACGATCACAATGACAATGGCGATGACGATGACGATGACGATGAAGATGAGGACGAGGACTAGGATGCGAATGGAAATGACGATGATGATGATGATGATGATGATGATGGTGATGATGATGATGACGATGACAATGACGATGGTGTTGACAGTGAGAAGGCGATGACGAAGACGATGACGATGACGATAACGATAACAACGACGATGACGATGACGATGACGACAACGATGGCGATAGCGATCACGATGACGATGTGGATGAGGACGAGGACTAGGATGCCAATGGCGATGACGATAACGATGACAATAACGATGACAGTGACAATGACAATAACATACAATGACGATGACAATGACAGTGACAGTGACAAAGACGACGACGATGTCGATGACGACGGCGATGGCGATGGCAATGACGATGACGATGGCGATGGCGAGGATGATGATGATGCTGATCATGATGATGATGGTGACGACTATGATGATGATGATGATGATGATGATGATGATAATGATGATGATGATGATGATGATGATGCTGGTGATGATAATGATGACGGTGTGGATGAGGACGAGGACTAGGATGCGAATTGCGATGACGATAACGATGACGACAACGATGGCAGTGACGATGACGATGACAATGACGATGACGATGACAATGACGATGATGATGACGATGATGATGACGAAGATGATGAGGATGAGGACAAGGATGACTACTACGATGATGGTGACGATGACTACTACTATGACGAATACGGTGGTGATGATGGCGATGCTGATGGTGTTGATGGTGATGGCGACGACGACAATAATGATGACTATGATGATTATGATAATTATGATGGTTATGATGGTGGTAATGATGATAATGATGATCAGCATGGTGGTGATGGTGGTGGTAATGGCGGTGATGATGATGGTGATAATGCTACTGATGATGATGGTGCTGATGACGATGCTGATGGTGATGATGCTACGGATGGTGATGATGATGATGCTGATGACGATGATGATGATGGTGATAATGATGTTGTTGATGATGCTGATGATGATGATGCTGACGTTGATGATGATAATGCTGAAGATAATGGTGATGATGATGGTGGTGATGAAGAAGAAGAAGAAGGAGTCACCGTCACCGTCACCGCCATCGTCATTATCCTGGTCCGAATGGCGGAGTTCGAGCTTATCGAGGCTAAGCTAATGGTTTTGACGAGAGCCGTGGCCACTGGGGGCCGCTCCTCCGTCCCGAACTCTCGGGGCACGACGCTCTCTCGGGCTGCACCTTACCTCCGTGCCACCCCCGTGGACCCCATGGAACCAGCTAAACCCTAGAATCGCCTGAAACATCTACGATCGGATTTTTTCGCTTCGCGGTGGCGGCTCCGACGACACGCTATGCCCTGCAAGCGGATAGTCTGTCACTCGGCTTCGCGGGGTGGGAGGCGGCGAAAAGCTCGGGATGTTGATGCTTGGGACCTGGAACGTGCGTAACTAGCGCGTTGCGCTGAAACGTGGTGGGCAAGAATCGGCGGCGCGACACGATAAGCGACAATTCCTGACCGTATCACCCTCCTTCTCCTCCTCCTTCTCGGTCTCCTGCTCCTGATCCCCGCCTCGCCTCCCATCGCACGGCAC